GCACCCACCCCACGCACGCCGCACCCCAAACCCCCTCTGCCCCGGCTGCTGCGCGAAGGATGCCCATCATCCCCTCCATCACGACGGGGAACCCCCCCAACCCTCGCGGGGAGCCCCGTACGTGGCTCACGAAGGACCTCACGGACACGACCAGCACGGGACCCTGCGGAGAGCAGCACAGCCCCCTCCCCACCAGCTTCCCCCTCCGAACTGTATTTATGTACGTGTGTAAGATACGGCCCTCCTCCTCCGGGCCAGCTCTGCTCTTGGTGTCCTTGTCCTGGCCACAGCCTGGCAGCCCCCATGCCGGGGGGCTGCTCCCCACCCCAGCACCTCGTCCCCCCGCCAGCCCCTCAGCCCAGGGCCCGATCCTGCTCCAGGAGGGGAGCCCAGTCCCTTCTAGTGTCACGGGCAGCACCAGGGCCCTGGGTGTCGAGAAGGGGGGTGCAGGCTAAGCTGTGCCCCCCGCAGTGCTGGGGACTGCTGGACCCCCCAGCTCCGGCGCAGGGGGGAGCCCAGCCCATGCTGTGGGCTTGGGGGTGTTCCGGTCGTGTCACCCCAGGGTGAGCTCAGCGGCGTTTACCTTCCACATCACAGCTCAGGTCACTCGTCTGACCCGGGACACGGGTCTCCTCCGCCTGGGTGAGGGCAGGAGCTCCCCAGGGACTCTGAGCCAGAAGGGATACGGGGTGAGAAAGCCACGCATGGAGACATCAAGGGCTTCTGTCCTCGCTGCTGGGGCGAGGAGATGGCTGCCGGCAAGGGCCCGGTTTGCCGAGCAGGTTGAGCCCAGTGATCACTTCTCAACCCCGCAGCGAAGCCGGGCTGTTCTGGCGGCGACAGACAGTGCAGTGCCTCCCCGGGAGGCTTCCCCGGCAGATCCGCACGCACCCAAGGTCCTTAGATCAGGCGTCTCTGCTCTGGCTTTTGGCAAGAGCCATCATCAAACGTCCATCGTTATGCTGAAATGTGTCCCCAGTTGCCGTAAGACCTGTTCGGGCGGGACGACGCGTAACCACGGGACAGCAGAGCGGAGCGTGCTGCCAGAGCCCAAACCGCTGCCTGCGGGCAGCGCAACAGCCAGGGCTGCTCGTAGAGGGCAATGCCAGGCCTGCGTGGATGCCACGTGCCAGGGTAAGCACCACAATCCCGTCCCGTGAAGAAACACCAGTGGGAAGGCGGAGGAGACCACCCGAGGACAGGGAGTGAGGGCTGAGGAGACAACACGGAGAGGCTTCTACCGCCCTGTACAGTCAGGGCTGGGCTTGCAGCACCTGGAAGCAGCGGGGGGATGTTAAAATACACAAGGTCAGCCCAGCTGGGCGGGTAGGCACGCTGCTGAGGGGGAAAATCCTCTCAGCGACCGCGTATCAGAGAGCCCGGGGGCCAACACCTCCTCCCCCCATCCAGCGCCGCTCCTCACAGCAAAAGGTCTAAACCCTCACGCGCTCTTATATAGCCCCCCGCCAGGCCGCGATTGGCTGATAGCGGCGAGGTTGGCAGCGTCGGATTGGTGGAG